CTCCGCCCCAGGAGAGCTGAGCTGGGCTCGGCCAGCCTCTGGCTGCATCTTTTTTCCTTCTTGCCTTTCTGCACACTCAGCTGGGGATCCCTCACGGATGTCGAGTCCTCCTTCCATACACTCCTTTTCTTCATTCTCCACTCGCTCTCCTCTTATTGCCACGTCTACTTGGCTTTCTCTTGGATTAAAAAAAAAAATCCCTTTCTTTTAAACTCCAGTATCAATGCTTTGTCCCTGGAATAACTCCCAACTCGTTCCCAAGATCCCCTTTCCTGTTCCCCGTTCCATTATGGATACTTATCAAGCACCTACTTGCAAACACTGAGCTCAGTTCTTTTCCTTTTTAGGGCTCCATCTTCTCCCCACCTCGTACTCTAGCCTTCTGGTGTAGTCTCTTTGCCCTTTGCCCTCTCTGTGGCCAGCAGTCTAGCTCCTAGCTCCTTCCTCCACCCACCCTCTCTGGCCTTTAAAGAGAATGGGTACTTTCTGTCCTTCTGGCCCATTTCCCTTTCCTGTTTGTTTATCGCTGCACTTCTTTCCTAGTTTCCTCCTATCAGTCTCCTTAAAGCACCCCAGCTGAGACAACCCCTCCCTCTCCTGTAGAGTTTGAATGCATCTTTTCTTTGATGGAAACTGGGTATTAAGGCATTGCTTTGGTGGGGCGTGGGGAGAAAAAGGAAGGATGCTGATTTCTCTGGGATGAGCACGTCTCCTTAAGTGTTTTAAGTGTGTTTCTAGCACTCCAGTTCTGGCCCTCCTCTTCCTCAAACTCAGGATCATCCCAGTCCTTCTCCTTCCTTGTTTTCCATCTCTCCCTTTCAAAACGTTCTCCAAGCCTCCAAAATCCTAACCTCTCCTTTCCTTCTCTACGCAATTCCCAGCTTCTCATTTTTCCTGATTCTGGAATCACCAGGGACCTTTTAATCACAATGTTCCTAGACAGCCCTTAGCCGGTGTCTGCCTCCCGCCCCCAGACACACCTTTGCATTGCATGAGTTTACACGCCCAGGTGAAGAGGATGTATAGAACACTGGTAGTGAGAGGACTGTTACCTAGTTCTGGTCCTGGGGCCACAGTGAGGGTCACTGACTGTAGGATAGGCCCAAGCTCCTAGGGGTCCAGCCAGGAAGAAGCCCCCAGTTCTGCTGGGCAAATTACAAGAAGGAAGGGGCGGGCCTAACCCCATTCTGCCGCGGGTCACCTAAAAAGGGGTGGGTCTTGTCCCTTCTGCATCCACTCATAAAGGCCTTTTCTGCTCTTAATGTTTAAGACGGAGCCGAGGTCGATTCGGTTCTGCTCGGTGTCACGTTAGGAGGGGGTGGGCCTGTAGCTCAGTTCTGCTCTGTAAATCACCTAAAGAGGGGCGGGCTGAGTCGTCCAGCTGAGGGAGTTGGGTTAACACCAGCGCCGAAGATCGATGTTCGTAGCATCCAAACGTCGGGCTAATCCCAGTTCTGCTTCCTTCTTCATTAAGAGGGAGGGGCGGACCCAAGTTCTGCCCTCTACGTCACCCAAGGAGGCCGGAGCCATTTTGAACCCTGCGACCCTAGTTTTCTTCCCCCTCCCACCGGCCCCCTTTTCCGTGCACTGCGCCGTCTCTTTGGGTTTTGGCCAATCAGGGGCGAGAGAAACGGCCCAATCAGCCGAGAGGGGCCACAGCCGAAAGACCCGGATGAGGCCAAGCCAAAGCCTTTGAATTGCAAGCCCTGCCAATTGCAGAGCCGTCACCATGGCAACGGGATAGAGGTAAAGGGGTGGGACTAACCACCATGGTTGGTCTTGGAGCCAATCACTTGGTTTGGAGCATACACTCCAAAGTCCAATAGGAATCCGGACATTCTTTGAAGGAGGAAGTGAAGGAAAGAAAGAGGCCCAGAGTGGGCGAGGTCTATGTAGACCTGAACCAATTAACTTCAGGATCTTGGTTATGACTGGCAGCTGCTCAGGCGAATGAAAGCTTTTCTGGCCCGGTGACAGCCTCGGGTGTTACCAATCTCTTGACAGTGCATAAGTACTGTGACTGCAGTCAGCCAATAATCATTATGCAAGGTCAGGACCGCGCAAACCTTTTGCCGCCCCCGTCCTTTGGGCCAATCCTTTCTTTTGAATCTCTGTGATGGACAGGCACCCAGGCCAATAGCCATTAGAAAACCTTGAAGCCTGCCCAACGATTGTGGGCAGGAGGCGGTTTCTCATTTGTTGGGGCGTGTACGTGTATGTGTGTGTGAGTGCGTGTGTGTGTGTGTGTGTGTGTGTAGGGGGGCTGAGGGAATACGTGGGGGCGAAACCGAACCGGCCATGGCAGCTGCAGAAGAGGAGGACGGGGGCCCTGAAGGACCAAACCGCGAGCGGGGCGGGGCAGGCGCGACCTTCGAATGTAATATATGTTTGGAGACCGCTCGGGAAGCTGTGGTCAGTGTGTGTGGCCACCTGTATTGGTGAGAGTCTGGGACCGGAGCAGAAGGCGGTGGGGTTCATCTCTACAGTGGGGAGGCCGGGAGGGAGGGACCATACACCCATACAAATAATCGGAGGGCACATCGCCTACGGGAGACCTTAGGTCTTGGCTGGTTTGTGTGGGTGGGAGGATCGCGTCTACAACAGAGATGTCTGGAAAGGAGGGTCCTAGAAATTAGGAACTGGTGCGTGTGGGATGTGTTATAAGGGATGGGACCCTGGACCTCGGCGCCTTCATCTGTGCTCCACCCTGTGCAAGTGAGACCGGAGCCACCTTACCCCAGGGAAGTTGGACTTTTCTAAGCTGTATAGATAAAAACAGAAGAGAGTCAAAAGGTTAGGGGAGGCACATATCACTTGAGTAGTTGACCCAGGGACGGTGTGGGCCCACGTTCAAGTGATATGTGGGAAGAGGGACGAACTGGGACAATGTGGAGGGGCATGATTGATCGTGGAAATAGAAGCTTTAATGAGGGTTGAAGGAGGAAAAAGAGCAGTGGGAGAATGTGCTTGTGAAGAGGGTTTGGTCTGGCCAGGATGGGGACAAGAATAGGTTGGAGTTGAAAAAGGAGACCTGGAATGGAGTGTGTTGAAGAGAATTGGAAAGGCAGAGAAGGGAAGGGAGTGGAGAGAGAAAGAGAGAGAAGGGGAGAGAAGGTTGAAAGTGTTGAGGGTCGATGGAAGGAACTCTAGATGTTGGAAGATCAGAAAAGTAGGAAGGCCAGGTTAGCTGGTATGGTAGAGGTTGCAAAAAATGTGAAGGGTAGAAGGTAATACCTGGGAAGAGGACTGAGGTGGGATTCTGTTAAGTTTGGGGTCAGTAACTCTGTCTTGTAACTGAAATTTGACCTTTTTCCCCCCTTCCTCCATCTAGTTGGCCCTGTCTTCATCAGGTGGGTATTCAGGAGATGAAGAGGAAAATGGGGGAGGTCTGAGGAACTAAAAGACTCTCCATGTGTTTGAAACCACTTTATTTATTCCTCCTCAGTGGCTGGAGACACGACCGGACCGGCAAGAATGCCCTGTCTGCAAAGCTGGCATCAGCAGAGATAAGGTTGTCCCTCTTTATGGGCGAGGGAGCCAGAAGCCCCAGGATCCCAGGTCAGATTCCAGAATTGGTGCCCAGCGAAGCTTGAAGGCTTTGGCTGGGGGTAAGTTTTGGGAGAGGAGATGCCCTGTTGACAATCTTTTCCCTTTCAGATTGAAAACTCCACCCCGTCCTCAGGGCCAGCGACCAGCTCCTGAGAGCAGAGGGGTGAGAGGAGTTTTGTTTGTTTTTTGTCCAGTTGTGTACTTTCCATGCCAAAGATGTGCCAGCTTTCCTGACTTTCTCTGCCTCTCTAGGGATTTCAACCGTTTGGTGATACCGGGGGCTTTCACTTCTCATTTGGTGTTGGTGCTTTTCCCTTTGGCTTTTTTACCACCGTCTTCAATACCCATGAGCCTTTCCGCAGGGGCGCAGGTAAGAATCTTTCCTTAGCTCCTACCAAGGAGTCCTCTCCCAGCCCCTTGCCTAGTCTACCAGTGTGATCGTTCCAACATCTTTTTCCCTTTCTCCTACAGGTGTGGATTTGGGACAGGGTCACCCAGTCTCCAGTTGGCAGGATTCCCTCTTCCTGTTTCTTGCCATCTTCTTCTTTTTCTGGCTGCTCAGTATTTGAGCTGTGTCTCCATCCTGCCCACCTCCAGCCAGAGGAGAATCAGTATTGGGGGTCCCTACTGACCCCTCCTTATTTCTGAACACCCTTTCCTCTTGTGACCCCCTCCATTTCTGCTGGCTAAGGTCAACCCTGGCCACTCTCTAGGAGGTCATAGAGAGGAGTCACATCTGTGCATAGGAAGGGAAAGCCAGCTGCTCTGAGCTGCTCTGAATTCTTGCTGGAATTCTCTGAATTCTTGCAATGAAACTCCAGTCCTGGGGGAGGAGGACAGACTGAAGACAGCATCCATTTCTCCTCTCTCCTAATCTTTTGTTTTCCTCCAGATTTCATGAATTGATGTTGAAAGGTGGGCAAGGCTCCCTCTGACTCTCTTCCATTCCTCCTCTTGTTGATTTAATTTAATTTTCCTCTTCCCAGTGCTTAATATGAGTTCCAACTCTTAATTGCTCCCCTCCCCTCACTACCTCCTTTATGATAAATTCAATAAAAAAGATGAAATGTATCGATGGGAACTCTTTCCCCAGTTCTCCCTTCCTTCTTTCTTTCCAGAACAGGCTCCTCTTCTCCCCAGCTTGAGTAGATGTTTGGTATGGTGTGGGAAGCGTAGGGATGAGCCCCTCTCCTTCAGGGATCTCAGGACAGGGATTAAGTTGTCTCTTTCCCTCTTACACAAACACACAAACACACATGGCACCATGTGTCAAGTGTTTACTCAGCACAGTTCGTGGAGAGGTCTGGTTGTGGAACAAAGTGTGGCAAGGTGGGGAGGAACATTTTACAGGAGAGAGATGGTTAGGGACCAGTCCAGTGCAAAGGAGCTAATGGGTGGGTTTCTTCCTAGGGGTCCCTTAAGGCCCTCCTCCACCACTCTCTGCTGCGTCTGGCTCCTCTGACTGATTCAGCTCTGCACGTTCTTCCTCCTCTTCTTGGTTTTCTGGGGCCTTTCTGAGGAGGAGGATTAAGGAAAATTCTGCACATGGCACATGATTCCTAGCATTCTGTCATTCCATCCCCCACCCCGTGTATTTGCCGTCTGGAAGCCCCTTGTCAGGAGTCTTTTTTTCCACTCACCTCTCCTCTCCTCGATGTTGCCGTTTTCGCCACATGATGGCCCCAATGAGCAGGGCGGCTAGTCCCAGGCCTCCCAGGATCCCCAGGGCCAGGGCTAGAGTTCCCAGCCCTGACCCACCCACAGAGCCTGTAGGGAGATGCAGACAATTGAGGAAACAGTCCCACCAACTCACCATGCCTTTCCTGTTGACCATACCCACAGTCACACGGCAGGGCTATCTGTTCCTCTGACTTTAATCCAGTCCCTCACCTGCAGCTCGCCCCTCCTCTCCTGTTTCTGGAAGACAAAGTCCAAGCAAATCAGAAAGGTACACTTCAGTTTGGGAGAGGAGCCCCAATGGAGTCTCCCTTCAGTTCAGCAAGGAGAGACTGGGCTGGTCATTTGGAAGGATTTGGATGGGTCAAAGGAGGCTCTGACTGGGAAAGAGAGGGTGGCCCTTGGGGAATCCTATTAAAATGGGGTAGGGAGTTGGAGCCTGCTGTGTTGCTCAGTCCAGTTCCAGGGTCCTTGGATTTAAAGAAGAGGCCTCACCTATGACGACGTTGACAGCAGGGCTTTCCTTAGCCCCTTGACTGGGATGGGTGGCCACACAGCTGTAGGTCCCTTCATCCTGAGGCCCTACCTCAGGGATGAGAAGCACAGGGCTGAGGGGCAGGGGCAGGGGTATTCCCTGGTAAGGAAAGGGGGAGAGGAAACTATTATCAAACTCCTATTCACATGTCCCATGCTTTTGGTTTTGTCTCCACAGCCTCAGATACCCCCTGTCTTCCATCTTAGCTCCTTGCCCACCTTTCCCTCCATTCCCAGGTAGCAGTTACAGTTCTCCCCCACTTCCCAGACCCTCCATGGCACTCACATTCTTTATCCAGTGGATCTGAGAAGGGGGCTGTGCAGGGGCTTCACAGGTGAGGGTCACCGTCCCACCTTGAGATACTACTCCACCTTCTGGCTCGATCAACAGTTGGACTTCCAGTGGTACAGACTCTGGAGGTGGGCAGGGGGGTGATCAATACAATACACCTAGGAATGGCCCTGGGCTATACCCGTGGACTTCAGTCTTCCTTGCCCAAAGGGCACATTTCCTAAGTGTGTTCACCTGAACTTGGAATCCTCCCACTCCTCACAATGGGCTGGATGGGAGCTGTGTTCAAAGCCCGGTGCCGAGGAAGAGCTGGGCTGAAGCTACAGAAGAAGGTGGGGCCAGCAGCATCTCCCTGGGCCAGGGTCACTATTAGCTCTGATTGGAGTGTAAAGAGCCCTGACTCAGGGTGTCTTCTGGTCTCTTCTTTCACCAAGACTCCTGTGGTAGGAGAAAGACAAGATGAGACACCCAGGTGGTTATGGGAACAAGATCAGGAAGCAGCAATGGCAGGGGTCTGGGGAAAGTGGGGGGTACCTTTTCCATCAGGAATCAGGGGTTTCCCATCCAAGTGCCAGCTAAGAGTTCCCGCAGGGTAGCTTCCCTCAGACACGCAGGTCCCCACCTGGGGAAAGAGTGGTATGCACATCCTTTAAAAATGCAAGATGCCTTGGGCTGGGAATATGGCTTAGTGGTAGAGTGCTTGCCTAGCATGCATGAAGCCCTGGGTTTGATTCCTCAGTACCACAGAAACAGAAAAAGCCAGCAATGGCGCTGTCACTCAAGTGTTAAGAGTGCTAGCCTTAAGTAAAGGAAGCTCAGGGATAGTACCCAGGCCCTGAGTTCAAACCCAGGACTGGCAAAAAAAAAAAAAAAAAAAAGGTAAGATGCCATACAGGTACACAGTTGCATTCACAGGACCACTTATGACTCCCCCTTCCCCCACACTATCCGCTACCTTAGTGGGGACACCGACTGTGAGTTCAGAGGCAGGATCTACAATTTCTGGCTTCCCAGGAATCTCTGATGGAGGGAAAAATTCAGTTAAAGGCCAGATCTTTGGAGATCCTCACACAGCAAGTGTGAGAAGAGTCAGAGGTCCTCCTTCACACACGGGGTCCTAGGAGTCAAGGGCTTGGGGTGGGGGTGAGTAAAAGCCTTTCCCTAGATGAGAGGTGGGGCTTGGCTAAAGCTCTGGAACCCTTACCATAGACTCGGACCCGGTAGTTGGACTTGGCCTCCTTCCCACGCCTGCTCATTGCTCTGCACCTGAAAGTTCCCTCATCCTGGATTCCAACAGCTGGAAGGAGGAGGGAGCCATTGGGAAGGACTCGAGCCACACTTTCCCAGGGACTTCCCTGGGGAGAGAGGACCTTCCAAGCTTCTGTCCGGCCTGTGTTCTAGAGACATGAAGGAGAAAAGCATAAGATTTCCAAGTCCTCTGGGAAAGGACGGCTCAGGCAGGATGGTGGGGACCATCACAGGTCCAGCTTCGAATTTGGGAAGCTGTTACAGGAGCCCTTACCAGCTTCCATTCCAGCTGCTGGGGTGGTTTCCTGGGTGCTCCTCTACAGTTCAGCACCAGTGGCTCCCCGATGTGGGCTGTGATGTTTTGACCACCTACTACTGACCCTGAGAGAGAAGATGGCAGTTGAGGAATTGGAGGGGAGATGAGAACTAAAGAAATCAGGGGCAGAGTGAGTGAGGTAGCTTGAAAGGTCGTGCCCAGGTCTAGGAAATTCTAGATTTGGGGGCAGAAGGGTCCTGGAGGCAGTATTTTCTGCAGGGAAGATTAGTGGGGCTGGGGAGTGGCTCACCCCACAGACCAAGGATTAGCACCCAGGCTCCAGCCGCTGTCCCTGCCGCCATCCTGTTTCCTTCCCAGGCTCCTGGCTCTGTCTGCCACTTTCCCCAATGTGGCTACTTCCCTACATGGGGCTTGCCCCCTCTCCTGGTCTTGTCAGTCACAGGGAATGCTAGGAATTCATGCCTCCTGAACAAGAGTCCTTCAGGTACTAGAAGAAATCTCACCCCACCCTTGGGCGCTACCAGTCTCTGGGCACAGCCACTTCGCTGGGGGCGGGGAGTACACTTTCTAGGGTCTCATTCCAAGTCTTCAGCCATGTTCCACCAATCCCACTCTGAGGGCTGCCTGGAACCCCACCATGATTGGGAAAGGATGCTAAGAGGATATGGGCTGATGTCCCCGGGGGTGGACACAGGGAGTTGGCAATAAAGAGCAAAGCTGGGAGGACAAAGCAGAAGGAACCTGTTTGAGGCTTTTTAGAAAAAAAAAAAGGTATATTCCTTGGAGATGAAAAAAAAACTAAACCCAGGAAAAAAGAAATTTCTTTATTTAAAACTGCATTTTCTTTTCTGTGAAACTACAAGTTTACAAGTGAGGAGAGAACTGCCCCCCTGCCCCTGGCCCGTGCCTCCCCCCCCCACCCCCCACCCCCCCATCACACTCCCAATCTGTCCCCCAATCCTGCTCGGACCCTTGATGGGGATGGGTTCCCCATTATGACAGTCCTTTTAAATCCTGAGGATCTTTGAGGGGATCAGAAAGAAGGGTTCAGGGCTGAGGATGGGAGAATGTTTTTACCGTCAACACTTTTTGTGACCTCCCTCCTCTCCCCATTCCCTTGATTTTGGCGTGAGGATAAAAGATTCTGTTCCCCCCCTCCCCTGGGAGAAACTGAGGGAGATACATATATAAGCACCTGACCCATACTTAGCATATTTGGCAAGAACCCACTCCCCATTCTCCTCCAATCTGTAAATAGTTAAAAACCAAAAAAGATACATTATACAGGGAAGGTGGGATCTATCTTTGATTTCTTCAAAATGACTGAATCCAGCTTTGCCTAGGAGTTGTGGAAAGAGGGGGGATAGGAGGCCAGCAGATAAAGCTCTTCCACACCAAATGCAGCAGAAACTTGTCTATACAAGCAAAGAACATCTTAGTGACTTCAGGAGTGGGTGGCTTGGTGTCCTGCAAAATTCACTTCCTGATGGGCAGGCCCAGAGCTAGGCGGGCCTCTCTACTAGTTCTGTTTAATCCTTTTTCTCTTACCAGAACCCCTTTGGCTATCACCTCTACAATGGGAAAGCAAGAAATAAAAAAATAATTCAGTATGTTTATATATTTATAAAGACAAACAACAAAAAAGCCCCACCAAACCCTACTTCCCCAAACTAAATTAAAAAAAAAAAAAAAAACAGATGGATCCCAGGGTTTGTTCTTTTTTTTTTTTCCTTTCTAAAAAACAAACGAACAAAAAAAAACTTCAACCCCAAAGCCCAGTCAACAATTTCCTAAAGTAGCAGAAACTCCCTCCGAGGTAGATATCTGAGTCAGACACTCTTGTCCACCGAGCGATTCTATTGGTTTAAGATGAGCTGCGTATGAGGTAATAAAGCCGTCTGGAGGGGCCAAGGGGTAGGGGATACACGGGGGGCGTGGCCCATGTTCTCTGTCCAGAAGTCCAGTCCCCATTTTTGGCATCTCTGGGTTGGGTAGGGCTGACGTCTCCAGATTCCACAGCATGTAAGTGGGGCGGGGAAGGGAAAGTGGGGGAGCCCAGAGAGACAAACAATAGTTGTATTTGCATATGTGTGTATACATGTGTGTGCACGCATGAGAAAAAAATGAGTGGGGGAGAAAAAGATCTGAGAAGTAGGTGTGTGCGTTTTTCTGTGTAAGAGAATAAAGGAAATAAAAAAAGGTCAAAAAAAAAGGAAAAAATGGGGGGGGGGAGACAGACTCCATCCTCCCCCCGGCTTCAGGACCCCATTCTCCCTGCCATGTTAGTCAGCACCCCCAGCACTGAGAGTCTATGGTTGGAGAAGGGACGACCCATTCGCCCCTCTGTTTTGTGCTTCTCCTGTTTGGGGTCTGTCATCTGGATGCCTGGGTCCTCTTCAAGAGTCGCCTTCTGGGAGCCCCCACCCCTGTGACCCTGAGGGGTGAGATCAGTTGGAGGTGTCGGAGTGAACACTCCCTGGTCCCTCTGTTGGGGATGTCACCGAGGATGGGGTCACAGCTTCCTGCCAGCTGCCGTTTGCCTAGAAAAAGGGAGAGAGAGAGAGAGTAGGAGTAGGGCCCTGGGAAACCCTGTGGGGGCAAATAGCACTAGGGAAAAAGTTGCCTTATCTTGATGAGAGCTGGAGACCACAAGGCTTCAGGATCCACTCACCCTCATTTCTCGAGGACTGTACATCTGGCCCGCTCCTAGGTTATCCCCGTAGCCCCCTGGCCCCATCGAGTGTCGGAGTGATTCCACCTGCAGGCCACAGAGGAAGGTGTGATGGTGAGGAAATGACTCAAAAAGAGTCTTCTATCCCAAGGGGGGAAAAGGGAGTCCAGGAGGAAAGACCTACTCAAGCCATGGGGCACCTAACCTGGGAAGCAGAATAGGAATCTCCATTGAGCCCGGGCATCCCCAGAAACATGTCTCCGGATCCTGAGAGATTGAAAGAGCCGCCAGAGCCTTGGAGAAACAGAGAAGGAATTAGGAGAGAGTACCAGGGAGCCTGAGTTGGCAGATAGACACAATCCTCATGTTGCAGAAAACCCTGGGAACTAGTTCTGCAGGAATGCATGTGGATTATACACAAATCACCGATGAAACAACCTTCCCAGCTGGGCATGGTGGTATATGCCCGAAATCCCAGTACTAAGAAGCTGAGATAGGAAGATCTGAGTTCAAAACCAGCCTCGACTGCATAGGGAGTTCTTAGGTCAACCTGGACCACATAGTGAGACCCCGTCTTATAAAACCAAATCAAACCAAATCAAGTGGAGACATACCCACACTCAGAAAAAGCAAGCTGTTCTAGAACTTCTAGATACCCGCTGGGAGGAAGGCAAAAGAAATTTCACTAGAGTGACCTCTGACCCTGACACGATCACCCATCTTAGCATGGACCTTCTAACCCCCAAAAGTCTCTCTGCTATGATCCTGCCTAGACAGGAAATGGGAACAAAGGCAGGAACTGCGTATAATAGCTAGCCGTGGTGGCAGTGAGCTCCACCTGCAGAAGAAGGGGGTGTTGGGGAGCTGGTGCGGCTGTGGCCCCCCTGGGCGACTGACACAGCTGTCTTGACAGCATAGATGTTGGCTTCCTCTTGGAACTTTCCAATATTTTTCTTATACCGAATCCGCTTGTTGCCAAACCAATTGGAAACCTGTAGGGTGTTGGGTAGAGAGGGTCAGGTGGAAAAATTTCCTACGAAAGCCCCTCACTGAATGGCATCTGAGAGCTTTCTGTCCCCAAACACCTTCTCTCCAAACCCTCACAATACCTGAGAGACGGTAATGCCACATTTCTTGGCGAGCTCCTCCTTAGCCTCCTCACTAGGATATGGGTTACTCAGATGGGAGTAGAAATACTCATTCAGGACCTCAGTGGCCTGTTTGCTAAAGTTACGGCGTTTTCGTCTGCAGAGGAAGGAGGTGGCAGGGAGAGAATGTTGGTGTCCTATTGGGAAACTCCAGGGGACACCATTGTCACTGAGTACCATGTTGTACAACCTGGCAGCCTAGAGGCTTGGAGAGGAATAAGAAGACTGGTTTAATCTGGATCCCTGGACCCCACCTGGCATCCAGGAAGCGGGAACGCAGGATCATAACTGCCTCGCAGGTGCTCTGCTTGAGCTGCATCTGGATGGCGCTGAACTTCCGATGGATGATGCTCACCATTCGCTCCATCTCTTTGGGGGCCACAGGCCGTGTGCGACTCTGCTCCCGCAGCAGGTTCATGACATGGGTTGTGAACTCGTTACATGCCTGTATTGGAAAAAAGAGGGAAGGTGGGCTGGAGAAGAGGACCTCTTTGGTCTTGAGATTCCCTTCAAAGGGCCTCTTCTTCCACCTACTCTGGTCTCCTCTCCTCACCTGCTCATACTTCTCCAGCTCTGAGTGGTAGATGTGGCGGATCTGCGCAAGCTTGCTGCGATAGTCCGAGTGTTCGATGGAGTTGTCAGGGGACACGCCGCCCCCAGAGGCTGCAGCCGCTGCTGCTGCAGCTGCTGAGCCCCCACCCTTCTCAGGCCCAGCCACACCCTCTGCCAGAAGCATGTTGTCCAAGCGCATCAGTTGTGGGTCCACCGGTTCCTCTTCTTGGGAGCTTCGAATGCTCAAGCCTAGCATGTAGGCAAGTGGACTTAAGACTCCATCCAGCCTCCCCTCCTCCACCAGCCAACCAGGACCCCTCACCCAGAGCTCAGTTTTCCTGGTGTTTTTGTTTTTTTTTTTTTAATTTATTTTTTTGTCTGTTGTGGGGCCTGAACTCTGGGCGTGGGCGCTGTCCCTCAGCTCTTCAGCTCAAGGCTAGTGCTCTACCACTTGAGCCACAGCGCCACTTCCAGCTTTTTTTGCTTATGTGGTGCTGAGGAATCGAACCCAGGCCCTCTTGCATGCAAGGCAAGCGCTCTACCACTGAGCCACCTTCCCAGCCCTTAGTGGCTTTTAGAGACCCTCGTTTTCCAATACTTGATTCCCCTTTCCCTTTTAGCCATCTCCTTGGGCCCCCACTTTCCTCAAGGCTCCATGTTGTCAAACTCTTAAGCCCTACAGTGAACAGAGTTGTGTCCCTAGAAGTTGAAGAATCAAAGAGGGAAAACACATACCCGTTTTCTCCTTGATTTCACACAGGACACTAAAGAGAGCAGGCTTCATTCGGTGGCAGTTTAGGGCGTGTTTCCTTGGGAGAAATGGGAGTGGGGAAAGAGAAAAGTTCATGAGAAGCAGTGTGTGTGTGTGTGTGTGTGTGTGTGTGTGTGTGTGGAGGGTGGGGAACAGAGGCCTACGAAGGTCTAAGAGGGGAGCCTGGGAACAGAAGGAGAGGCATCTGTGGAGTGAAAAAGCAGGTTTGCGATGGAGCTGGGGTGTGATTCAGCTCGCATAATGGGAAGATACAAGCAAGGTACAGGGAGCAGGCTTATAGGCACCATGGGGTGGGCTGGGGTCTTTGGAAGGCATAGGGTCCAGGAAAGGTATTGAGGGGGGATTTAGGGGTGACTCGAGAAATGAGAGTGACTGAGTAGGCTTAGGAAAAATAGAGATGGAGGTTGAGGTGGACAAGAGTCAGTTTGAGGTGGCAGAGGGCTAGGGGTGCTGGGCTAAACAGAGAGTTGAGTACAGGAAAGGGGATGGGGTATATGAGGACCTTGAAGACCTGGGCCAGGGGTTGTGAGGAATGCTAGGACCTCTGGGGTGGAACACAGAGGCCCCAGCTCTGGAGAGAATGGGTTGGGCTGGGTGGAGAGCCCGGGACAGACAGAATTGCCCAAGAACAGTTTCTAAGTCTGGGAGCCAGAAGGAAGCTCTGAAGATGGGGCTGGTGCGGGGAGTGTAGGGGTCAGCAAGAGGTGAGGAGGGGAGGGAGACCACCTGGGGTGGCTTCGGTGGAGGTTTCAGGGTGGGGGAGCTTTTGAGAGGGAGCCCTAAAGTGGAGGTTTCCCGAGCTGAGGCGAGAGCAGAGCTGTAGAAACCTGGAGGGGAGAGGGGTTACTCCCAGAAGACTCAGAGCTTGTGAATGGGGGGGGGTCTGTGTGGGGGTCCGGGATGGGGGCACTCACTTGGCCTGGGCCTCGTCCAGGCTCTGGTCGGTGATGGTCATTATCTGCTGCAGTATGTCCCCGATGTCTTGCTTCCCTCGGCCTCCCGGGACCCCCCCCGTTACCCCCACCGGGGTCTCCGCCACCGGGAGGTTCGCCAGGACCCCCGGGCTCCCCACCCACCAATCCCAGGCCCCCCCGGCCTCCGCCTGGAGGGGGCGGCCCCAGCAGCCGCTCGTCCATAGCTGGGGGGGGGGCCCTGAGGCCCCCTCCCTGCTCCGCCCCTCCCCCCGCCCGGTTACGTCCCCCCCCCCCCAAACTCGCCGGGGCCGCGGCTCCCTCCGCCCCAGCCCCCGCCCGTCTCCTCCCCTCCCGGCTCCCCCGGGGTTCACCCCGGCACTGGGGGGAGACCTCAGGTACCGGCTGGGCCCCCCACAGGAGACCCCGGCCCCCGGCGGCGGAGAAAATGGAGCCGGAGAGAGAGAGAGAGGGAGAGACAGAGGAGGCCCAAGCGGGGGTGTGTGTGCGAGAGGGAGGAGGGAGGAGGGGGAGGGGGAGCGAGGGAGGGAGGCGGGGGGAGGGGAGCCGGGGAGGAAGGGGAGGGCAGAGAGAGGAGGAACAGGGAGGAGCCGGGGGCGGGGAGAGACACAGCAACAGAGGAACCGAGACGGGTGGAGGAGGGGAGCGGGGCGTGGGGCGCGGGGCCGGAGGCGGAGAAACGGGAAGGCCCGGGAGCTGGACTCGGGGGTCCCGGGACCGGGGCTGGGGTAGGGCCGTCGGGGGGTGGGGGGGTCCTGCCTCGGGGTTCCGGATCCTGGATCGTCGTGATGTGGACTCTGAGCTGCAGGAATGCCTGCGTTCACTGACAGCTCTGTTCATATTTCTTGTCCTAATGACTCCCCTCCCTGTTCTTCTTAATTAAAACCGGGAAAGGGGGGCTGGGGGGAGATAATTAGGGAGGTCTCCAGCCGCTGCTTAATGAGCCAGTAATTAACCAGCTAGGGAGGGGAGCTGGCCTCCGGCCAGACTGGGAAGCGAGGCGGCCTCTGGCCTCACCTTTCTACCCTCCCCCCTCTGTCCCCGCCCTCCCCCCCCTCCAGATACCAGTCTTCAGTCAGAGGGGAAACACATTTATTCATACATACGAAACAATCTGAATCTGAGCAGCTTTGGGGAGGAAGGGTGGGAAGGGCTAAAGGTCCATTCAAAACCTCTAGGACCCTCAGCCTTGGGGCTGGTGGTGTGTGCTGGTGGCAGGGCTTGTCTTAAATCTCCCTTCCCGGTGTCTACTCTCTATTTTGCCTACTCGATTTCTTCTTGCTGGGAAGGAGGGTAGGTAGCCTTTGCTTCCCAGGAGCCTGATCCCTCACACCCTGGCCTGGAACTGATAGCTCAGGATCAGAGAGTCACAGCCATTCCCAGAGCTCCCCTGGCTGGGGGCCTCTTCTTTCCTTTAAGCTCCAGTGTCTAGAGGAAGGAGTTAAATGATTGTTCTACCTTACCTATTCCTAGCGTTTGAGCACTTTCACCCACTCCAGCTCCCTGGGAAGGTGCTGAGGGTCACGACTAATGCAATTTCTGCTGGGTCTTCAGTCTTAGATAGTCCTGCCAGGCAGGGTTGAGGGCATGCAGTGGGCAGCCCAGCTTTTGAGCCCTAAGTGGCAAAAAGGGGCTGATACAGGCTCAAATCTCAGCAGCTGTGTGGGGGGGGTCTGGATCTTTGCTCCTCCATTCGACCTCCACCCTGAACTCTCAGCAGCAACTCCAGGAGTTCCTGTCCCCCTGGGGGTAGGGGAGGCTCTGATCGCTGGGCTTCCATCCGCTGGCACTGGAGGAAGGGAGAGGAAAGCATTGGTAAGGTGCCCTGGAGTGCTGGGTTAGGAATCAGGGCTTGTATGGGGCACAGATATGAGAGATCAAGAGGCATGGGTTTTGCCTTTTTGGGATGTCTCACCTGGTGACTGAGGATGGTACTATAGAGCTGTTCTTTGTCCTCAAGAGGCCGGGGTGGGGCTGGAGCTAGGCTTTGGGGGCTCTGGGGAGTGTGGAAGTTGGCTCTCTGCTCCTCTAAGCGGCGGGACTGGGCCTCAGCCACCAGGTCCAGAAGAAGCTCTGTCTGCAGAGACAGCAGGGAGGCCGAGCGGGGGCCCAGGGCTGGGGAGAGGAGGAAGGAGGGCTCTGAAACCTACAGAAGTTGACAGACAGGAGCAGTGTGGATGTGGACAGGGTGATCAGGGTTCGATCAGCCTGGGTTACAGCAGAGGGGGCGTGGTGGGTTGGAGCAGACATTGGTAATGGAGTCAAGATGTGGGCACCAAGTTTGGGGCTTCCCAGGGTAGAAGTACCTGCAAGGTGGGTCCCTCGGAGAGGAGGGGATGGAGGAGCAGATCGCCAAGGCCGAGTGGTAGAATTCAGAGTGGCCCAGCCCCTCTGTTCATCCTGCGGGTGTCCCTGTTGCCGAGATGTCCATTTCAGTCAGGCGGGAGTGGGGGTAGGCAGTGGCCCATTTCCTCAATGTTTTTGTTCCTGCTTATTGTGTCTAAGCCTTTTCAAGTCCCCTATGTCCCTCATCACAAGGTCTCTGCCTCAGGTCCTCACATTTCCTTTCTCAGTGCCAACCTCCCTACCCAGTGCCCAGCTCACCTGTTCACCAGCCTCTTCTTCCTGAGGTTCTTCCTGGGGTCTCTTGTCCTCCATCCCCTGGTGGGGAGAAGCTGAGGGGGGGAGGGGTGGCTGGGATTTGAGAGGAGGGTTAGAACTTAGGGTTCCTGAGAGGAGTAGGGGGCTGGAAGGGGTGGGGGTGAGCTGGGGGCTGGATGCCTGGGTACTGAGCAGGAAGCTGGGTTCCTGGTCAGCCCCCCCCACGGCCCCGCCCATCTCTGTCAACTTCCTCCATTCTCTTTTCCCACCCAAACAGCTTGTTTGACCTCTCTGCCTCAGGGGAACTGAGAGACTGGGAAAAAAATAATCTTGCCGCTGCAGGAGTAGTGGTGGGTCCTAGTGGGGAAGGACTCTAGCCTTCCCATCTCTAGAGTTTTATTAGCCCCCCCCCCCCCAATTTCGGCATCTGTTCCCTTCATCCCTGCCTCCCTTTCAACTCTTTTTGTCAACACAGGAACTAGCTGCACAGGAAGTGGTTTCACTCTTCAGGATCCTCCCTCCCCCAAACCAAGTCCCTTCCTCACCTAAGACCGACCCTGGTTGTAGGATTTAGCCCTTTGCAGGATTTAGCCCTTTGTAGCTTCCATCTGACTTACTGGACTGGGAGGAGCATGGGAAACAGGACTCAGACCCAGCGTGGAGTGAGTGCTCACAAATATACCTACACTGAGTCAAGACATAGTAAATATTTAGAATAATGGATATTTGGGGGGGGGGGGTCTTTAAATGGTTATCTGTCATGTAAAGGAATTCACAGGTAAATGGCTTTGGAGCATGAAATGTGATGTAGATATTTGATTCTTCTACTTTAATGCCTTATATCTTAGGCATATAAAACCTTGATGCCTCCGTTTTTGGGAGAAGAAAATGGGACTTTAAAAAATAACACCTACCTCATAGTTGGTGTGAAGATTAATTGTAATAAAGCACTTGACAAATAGGAATGATCAATAAATGGTAGTAACTTTCAGAATGCCTCCACATCTCAGGCTTAATAACAAGGCAAAAGTGTCCAGCTGAAAAGTAGATAACTTGAGATACTCTCTCCATCTTTTGCTTAAAGCCTTAGGAATCCCTTGACTGTAACTAAGTGCCCCTAGACAAGGGACATGGTCTGCATGGCCATATGTATTTGTGTATTCTCCCTGCTTTCTGATGATACCCCAAATAAACATGAGCCCTCCAAATCTACTTAAAACGAAAAGCCCTTATCCAAGTCAGCCAAGACTTCTAAGATCTGTACGTGGTCACTTTCATATATTTTGTTTCCCATTCCACTCCCCAACTCCTCAATTTAAAAAAAAAATCAGTTTATTATTGGAAACAGGTTTGAGGTTCTTAGAGATAGCCATGGCCAGAAGAATGGTGCTTCATCCATGCAGCAGTTTCTTTGGATGAGAGCACGGAGTCATTAGCTGGAGTGGCCACTGTCCATCTTTCAGCATCTACACAGTGCCTGGCACTTGGTAGGTTCTCCATAAATATGTCAGCTTTGTGGGCCAGTGTAAGCAATGGATGATAGAGGTTCTCTTTGGGAACCATACACAAGTTAAGAACATCTTACATCTCCTCGGTCCACAGCTCTGGGTTCCAGTTTTAAGGAAGCCTCTCGCTCTTAATTTTCAAAGAGAGGAAGTGGGCCTGTCTCATCCCAGCACCCTCTTTTCAGCACTGTAACTTCTTCCAGGTAGAAGATAATGCTTGCTTCGAGAGGCATGCACTAATTCGGGGAGGGAAACTCAATTTGCAGCCCCTTCTTTCGAGTGCCAGTTATTTAATGGGCAATAATTTTTCCAACGCCTCCTCTCCAAGTCGACTCCTAATTTTAACATTCTCCCAGGTTTAAGGAGGCTCCTTCATGAGCGGGAAGACCCCAAACAACTTGAGGGGACCCTCGCTCTGGGGATGGAGTAAGACAAGGAGGTGGGATCGGAGTGCTGGAGGCGGGGCAGGCTCCCAGGGCCACCCAATCACGGGGCCAGTCATCCACTGAGGCCTTGCTTCGGCGTCCAGCCACGCACGCGGGCCTTCCTCGCACTATTGAGGGGTTGGGCCTAGGCCCACGGAGGCCAGCGGAAATCCTCCGGCCGCGTGGGGGCGGGCCTTCTCCGGCTCCTCCTCCCGAAGGGCTCCGGCTGTGCGGATAGGCCCTGCTTCCGCGCGCCGCCAAGTCTCCAGACAGACTGCGAGCTTGCAGACCAGCCCCGCCCAATCGGGGGCGTGCCCCGGCTGACAGTGTCCGGCAACGCGGCGGAGCCCCGCCTCCGTGCGGAGGCACGCTTCCTGACGCAGTCCTTGCGCGCGAGAAGGCCCCAGTCTCGCGGTCCGGCGACACAGTGTGACGTGCCGCGGGCGGCCCCGCCCCTCCTAGCAGGGTCAGCAGATCCCAGTGGTTTCGCTGGCGGGCAATGTCCGCGGGCGCTAGTCCAGCTTGATCCCGCAAGCCTCGGGCCGCCCCGAGTCCCAGCAGCAGCTGAGCCACCTCGACCGCTCCTTCCCGGGCCGCTAGAAACAGCGGCGTCTGCTCCTGCGGGGAGGAAACAGCCAGGGGGTGGGGTCAGGCAAGGACACGTCCCCCTCCGACTCCACCTCCTGGGCTGCCGACCCGCCCCTCCAGATTTTGTGCCATTCCCGGGCTTTCTCTCTGTCCCGCTGCCGATTTCCTTTCCTTTTTCCTTTTTTTTTTTTTGCTGGCACTGGGACTTGAACTCAGGGCCTGGGCGCTGTACCTGAGCCTCTTTGTGCTCAGGACTAGCGCGCTACCACTTTGAGCCACAGCGCTACTTCCAGCGTTTCCTGAGTAGTTTTGGAGATAAAGAGTTTCACGGAGTTTCCTGCCCGGGCTGGCTTCGAACCGCGATCCTCAGATTTCAACCTCCTGAATAGCTAGGATTACAAGCGTGAGCCACCGGCGCCTGGCTTCTTTTCTTTTTTTGTGGGGAGGCTGCTACCCAGTCTAACCCTGCCATCTTGAGCGTCTTTGTCGGCTCCAGCCTGGAGAAGGGAGCGAGCGGCTCGGTCGTTGTTCACAGCTGCGGCCCAGTGTAGTGCAGTCTTTCCTAAGGGGACAAATGTGGGAAGTTATTACCTGGCGGCTAGGGGCCAAACTCCCTAACTTCGTTTTCCCACGAATTATCCTAGGGGAGGGGAGAGGAAAGGCTACCCAGGTTCCTCAAAGGCGGGAAGCGTTGCCCTGGCGACCGCCAGGAGGCCGGAAGCATTCTCCTGGTGACGTCACCGGCGCGCGGGCGGGACAATGGGCATTGTTCTGGGTCGGTGGGACCGGGAGACCCAGTGCTCGTCGAGGATGGTGGGACGGGGGGGAGGGGGAGACTAACGCTGTTCTTACTACCACTGCACAGCAGACTTCCCATATCAGCGGGGTGGGGGAAATGTCTCAGCCTCCCATTACGCGTCTCCCTCCCTGTATTGTGCACCTCTTCTCATGCTCCATCTGCTTAATTTCTTTCCTCCTTCCATACCCCATTTATCGGCGGCCCCCACATTTGCTCCAGCTGCAATCAGTTCTTCAACTAGGTCCTCCACAGCCAGCCTGGCAGCCAGCATCAAGGGTGTGGTCCCGTCCTCTGTGCGTGCATCCACCGCGGTCTGTCGGCTGCCCAGTAGGAGCTGGGGAGACAGAAAAGACCTGTAACCTTTCCATCGTCTCTCTTCAGGTCGTAATTTCACATGCTCTCTCTGTTAAACCCTGGGGGATACTTCTACCCAGTTTTACCTGTAAGCATACCTTTTAGTCCCTTTTAGGGACTCCAGGGTGTGCTAACCTGGCAAACCTCCTGAGCATCAGCAGCCACAGCAGTGTGAAGTGGGGTGCGCCCTGACCGATCTTGCTGGTTTGGGTTGGCTCCAGCTTCAAGAAGGCGGCGGGCAGCAGTTGGCCGGTCGAATCGGGCAGCCAAATGCAGAGGGGTCTCTCCAGTGCCCACGGTGTTAACCTGGGGACAGGCCCCTTTATCCAGCAAAGGTTCCCAGGGCTCAGAACTTCCCAACCATGGCCCCTGGATGGTTCTGGACTCCACTCCCCCACAGCAGACTGCTGACATCAGAGGTGTCACTCCATCTGTGGGTGAAAAGTCAAGAGAGGGGCTCATGGAGGCTCAGGAAGAATCACAGTGGAGGTGTCTCTTTGTGGTGTATGAGACAAGAGTGTATGGCCTAGAACTCATGTAAATATACTTTGTAAACTGTTAACTCAGCACCCTCCTCTTGCTTCTACCTCCCCCCTTGTGTGTGTGTGTGTGTGTGAGAGTGTGGTCATGCCAGTACTGGGGCTTGAACTAAGGGCTAGGGCACTTAGTCCTTGCTCAACACTAGCACTTTGCCATTTGAGCTACAGCTACACTTTCATGTCTCTGCTGGTTAATTAGACATAAGTGTCTTAGGGACTTTCTGCCCAGGCTGGCTTCCAATTACAATCCTCAGAGCTCAGCCTCCTCAGTAGCTAGGATTACAGGCGTGAGCTACCAGTGTCTGGCCAGCCTCCATCTCTTAAGGGTGATATTAACAGGTATGTACTACACTATGTATGGCAAGCTCTGGCTCTTGATTATGTGTCGTAAGTGATTTTTCCTGATTTTATATGAGATTGTTTCCTCATCAGTAAAGGGAGGAGTTTTAAGAAAGCCTTAATTCTGTTAACATTCTAGGGCCTGGCTTCTCAAACTTGGGTCTAAATCACACTCACCTGGAGTACTTATTAAAACAGATCGCTCATGTTTCTAAATGGATAGCTCTATAGTGGAGCTTAAGAATTTGCATTCCTTCCAGTTCCCAGATGATGCTGATCTGTCTGAGCACCATACTTCAAGAATTACTATTCTTGGGCTGGGAAGTTGGCTCAGTGGTAGAGTGCTTGCCTTGCATGCGGCCCTGGGTTCAATTCCTCAGCACCACATAAGCAGAAAAAAGCTGGAAATGGTGCTGTGGCTCAAGTGGTAGAGTGCTAGCCTTGAGCTGAAGAGCTAAGGGACAGCGCCCAGGCCCAGAGTTCAGACCCCATGACTGGACCCTCCCCCCCCCCCAAAAAAAAAAAAAAGAATTACTATTCTGAGGTACTACTTCTTTTAGTTTTGTTTTTTTTTTTTTTTTTAATGTACTGAGGAATCAAACCCAGGGCTTCATGCATGATAGGCAAGCACTCTATCACTAAGCCACATTCCCAACACTTTTGGTTCTGATACTAAAACAAAAACAAGTTTCTGCTTCTGAAAGGGTGGAAGGGAGGCTTTTTTTATTTCCTTTGTTATGGTTTTCTTACATACCTGGGCCACAGGTATCCACATCTGAGGCTTCCATCTCAGACTCCTGAGGAGGTGTCAGCATGGCTATCTGAGGGATCTCTCCACAGCCACCATTCAGTGGCCAGAGCTGGCAC